AAGTGAGCAATTTTGGCAGAAAAGTAAACCACACTTTTTCTTTAGTTGTCTCCCAGGCTAAGATTAAACAGAATAATATGTTGCCAAGTTTTAGTGATTTATGGGGTATCTGCTCTGAGTCAAGCCAGTATCATACTAATTGCCTCCACACTTATATGCCAGAACTTGTGTGCTCTTTTGAAAGACTATGTCTTGTAAATTAAGTACAGGATAAAAATATCCCTCTAAATTTAAGAGTACATTATCTTAGAACTATAATTTGAATAAAGTTGATGTTAAATTACCTTTTATTTTCTTTTATCACCTATTTAACATTCTTGATGTTCAAATCCTGCTGTAAGTCATGTGATAAGCCCCGTTTGACTAGAGAAACAATCTAGTACCACTCATAGATGTGTAAGAAAGAGTTTTATATGAAGAAGTAATTATGTATATACAAAGTATCCCTGCCCAGGCCCCACACCCCTCTTCAGATGCGCGCATGCACCCACATGCAGTGATGCTTCCTGCAGGAAGGTCACAGGCCCGGGGTGCAGATTCTTGTGAGTCCAAGGTCAGGGGAAACATGGCAAACCTGGAAGGTAAAGGAGGAGATAGGGTCCTAATGAGAAGGCCACGCCTCCCAGGGAACAGCATCAGGCTATGACCTGATTAACAAGTTTGACTCCACCCCTAGCCAGGCAGGTCTAGTTGACATAAAATAGTCAAGCTTCCACAAGTCAAGAAGAAAATTTTAAATTATGTAATTATATAGTTTATGTATCATAATATAGTTTCTATATGTTACTGTTGTATTTTTTAAAGAGTCTATTAACTATAATAAAACAAATTAATACTTTTAAGATTCGTTTTCCACACTAGTTTTCCTCTCTTTAGAGCAGTGGTTCTCAACCTTCTTAATGCCATGACCCTTTAAATACTGTTCCTCATGTAGTGGTGACCCCCGACCATAACATTATTTTCTTTGCTACTTCATAACTGTAATTTTGCTACTGTTATGAATTGTAGTATAAATATCTGATATGCAGGATGTATTTTCATTGTTACAAATTGAGCATAATTAAACATAATGAAAGCATAGTGATGAATCACAAAACAATATGTAATTATATATTGTGAGATGATTATGTGTTTTCCAATGGTCTTAGGTGACCCTTGTGAAAGGGTCATTAGACCTCCAAAGGGATCGTGACCCACAGGTTGAGAACCGCTCCTTTAGAGTCTTAATTACTCAAAGTCTGCTGATTATTTGAGGAAAACTTTTAAAGCAAACTTCCCAATATAGGGAATGTCTATAAATTTCTTATTTTACTTGTTTTGCTGTTGGCATACTGTTCTTTATAGATACACTACTTTGTTTGTAAGGAGCCCTGAGGGAGCTGTGGGACATGTGCTAGCCTGTAAGCTACAGGTTGTGGCTAAAACCCACCATCCTTTCCGTATGAGAAAGAGAAGATTGTTTATTCCCATAAAGGGTTATAGTCCCAGAAACCCTACATAGGGCTGCTTTGGTAGGGATTACTCAATTGAGTTTGTTTACATAGCTGATATTTAATTTTGATATTTTTCATATCAGTTAAAAATATTATGGCATATATGGCTTCTATGTAATATGCTAAAGAGTAGGGAGTACAAAACTTATCCTGATTGATTTTTTAATAGATTTAATTTCTTTTTTAAGAAAATCATTTTATTGGGGGAGATTTAATTTCTTTTAAAAAATCTTTTAAATTAAAATTCTGGGACATATAGAAGTATGTGTGTAATAGTTATATAAACTTTTAAGTATAATCGTATACTGCTTAGCAGTGACTGTGTTCTAAGAAATTGGCTATTGATATATTTGTGCTCTTTTATTTTGTTATTTGATCTGTCTTTTCATTTTGATTAATTTTCTGGGTGTTTCCTTTGATTTAGTATTATACAGCTTGTATATTTAGTGTAGGTTTATTTTTCATGATTGAGCTTGAGATTCTTGAATTTTATATTTGCTATCTTTTACATATTTTATAAACTTTTCAGTTGCTATCACTTTAGGAACATTTCCTCTTCTCCATTACTTAGTGCTCTCTTTGAAATTTCAATCAGAAGTATGTTAATTCTTTATATCTGTTAACCTCATTTGAATATTTTTTTATTTCTGTTTTTATCTGTGCTGCATTCTAAATGATCTCATTGTGTTTCATCCATTTCTCCAGTCCTCTCTTTAGCTACATCTAATATACTGTTTAACCTACCTAATGAGTTTTTAATTATAGCAGTTATATTTATCATTTCTGTAATTTGCATTTGTTTAAAATATGTTTTTCTGTATGCTTTTCCATGATTTTCTTTTAATCATTTTGCCTCCATCGTCTGCTTATTAGTATTCTATGTATAGCTGTTTTATGTTCTACATATTAATATTTCTAGTGTGTGCATTGCAAAAGTCATATTTTTTTGTTTTGTTTTATTTTTGTTATATCCCAACTTGCTTTCTGATGTTTTATTGTGGGAAGCATAAATGGATCTGAATTTACAAATATTATGTGACAATCAATTGGGGATATTTTCCAAGGAGAAAGTATTTTTCAGATTTTCTTAAGTGGTAGAGGGTTTTGTTTCAACTGTCCAAGTTTTAGGGTTTCGTTAGTACTTGACCTCAGGACAACTACGTATATTAATTTTCTTATCTTCTCTTTCCCACAAGCAACTAGCTGTAAATCTTTCATTTAGGTCCTTTGTTCCATATGTTTAAACAAGACTTTTATAGTTTAACATTATTTTGTTGTTTAGCCCCCATATTTTTAAACAGCCTGACTCTTGTTGCTCTTTCTTGAGTGGCTACTTTAGGATGATGTTGATTGACTTTTTACTGTGGGAAATTATGACTTGCTTATTTTCACATGCTTCATGCCCCGCCCCCCGCCACCGATTCTTCTCAGATATCCATTCTTCCAATATTGTGATTTCATAAATCTAATATCATTTGTACCATAAGTAAACACTGTTTCCAGCACAGTTGAGTGCTATGATTGCTTGTCTTCTTTAACAAGTGTCTTACTATGTAATGTCCCTTGCACTCATAATGACTTACTGTGAGTGTCCTGGCGTTCCTGTCACTACTCATTAGTGTGAGTTTCTTTGTTTACTGGATCCTCCGTTTCCTTTCTCATTATATCCTTTGGGTGGCACACATTCTTTCGTATGGAAAAATATATGTAAGAGAGAGATTATGAATATGTGAAAATGACCTTATGATTCCTACATTTGATTAAATAGGTTCTGTGGGTATACAATTTAGTGTAGATTGGGAATAATTTGCAGTTAGAATTTCAAAGACTGTGTACCATTTTCTTTTAGCTTTTAGTATTGTTGTTTTAAAAGTCCAAAGCCACTGTAATTACTGATCCTTTTTAAAAAAAATCATTTTATTGGAGGCTCTTGCAGCTCTTACAATAATCCGTACATCAATTGTATCAAGCACATTTGTACATATATTGCCATCATCATTTTCAAAACATTTTCTTTCTACTTGAGCCCTTGGTATCAACTCCTCTTTTTCCTCTCACCCCTCTACCTCATGAACCCCTGATAAATTATAAATTGTTATTGTTGTACTGATCATTTAATCTAAGTCCTTTCCTCCTGATCTCTGGGATCTTGTTGATCCTCAGTGTTCTGAAATTTCAAAATGATTTGGCTTCCTTTCAGCCGCTCTCCTGCTCTGTGCTGAATTTCTCACGGGCACTTTCATTCGCACAGCAACGGCGTTCTTCTCTTCTGGGACATGTCTTGAATAAACCATTGTTGACTTTGTCTTCTCCGTTTCCTTCTTTCCTTCATAAATTCTGTTGTTAGATAGGTAACCTCCGGGGCTGTTTTTATAGTGTGTATTTTCCTTATTTGCTGTCATTTATTTTCTCTGAAATTCTCAACTATTTTTCAACCTCTTGAAGATTTTCAAATCTACTTCATTTTGAATTTGCAGTAACTTCTTTTGTTGTTTCTTTCTCTTATACCCGAGAGCAGTGTTTCTCAAAATGGCTGATCCCACCCTCTTGGGTTACTGCTACAAACCAGAAGAACAGCAAGAGCAGTTTACACTTTGCCCTGGATTATGGGCTATAGTACAAAAGGATTGTCTTTTTATAGAAGATCATTTTATTGGGGGCTCTTGCAGCTCTTATAATAATCCATACATCAATTGTATCAAGCATATTTGTGTATATATTGCCATCATTATTTTCTAAACATTTATTGTCTGTTTGAGCCCTTGGTATCAGCTCCTCATACCCCCCCACCATCCCTCCTTTCCACACTCGTGCCCCCTTGATAAATTATAAATTATTACTATTTTTGTGTCTTACACCGACCGTTGTCTCCCTTTCCCCACGTTTCTGTTGTTTGTCCCCATGGGGGTGGCAGTGTGTGGAGTACGAAAGGTTTTAATTGCCTGAGAAGTTCTCAGTAATTTTTTTTCCCCTGAAAAGGGTATGGTAGGCCAGATAAGTTTGGAAACCTATGCCCGAGAGCAGTGTTCTCAACCTTCCTAATCCCATGACCCTTTCATACAGTTCCTCGTGTGGTGGTGACCCCGGCCATAACATTATTTTCATTGGAACTTCATAGCTGTAATTTTGCTACTGTTATAAATAGGGCGATCCACAGGTTGAGAACTGCTGCCCCAGAGCATATTCTTTTTCTGTTTCATAGCTTTTTCTTTAAAAAATTCATCAATCTTCTTTCTGTTTTTCCCTCCAAGTTGAATCCTTTAGTGGTGACTCCTGTCTTTAACACTAGAAGCTCTACTTGGTTATGTCATGTGTTACTTTTGAAAAACTTGACAGTTATTTTCTTCAGTGGTTGTGACATTTTATATTCCTATCAGCAAATCATTAGGCTTAATTTTTTCCCATCAGTACCAGTTGTTTTTCTCTTATCATAGCTATTTATGACATGAAGTAGTATTAACTTTGCTTTGTCACAAGGAATTACAATGTAAAAATCTTGTTTTCTAGGTGCTGTGCTTCTTTGTTGTGTACAAGGATTGTCTGTGAATATTGACCCAATCTTGTATACATGGCTTATCTATCTGCCTCAGAAACGAACGAGTAGACATATACAACAGGTGAGAGATTTTAATAATTTATTCAAATAGTGGATTCATACTTTATCTCAGTTCATTATTTGATTTGCATATCTTTTATGTTGTTTTCCTTTTTAGCTGTTTTATTGGCACATAATTTTTATAGCATACACTTCAGTAGTTCGATCATTCAGTCGTATCAAGGAGAATTGTACAATTATTTCCATATCAATTTTAGAGCATCTACACTCCCTACCCCACCGTGGTTAAATTGTCTTTAAAGATAGTTGTGCAATCACAATCAGTTCTAGTGCTCCTGTTTTTCTTTTTTCTATATGTACTTGATTTTCTGCCTCTTATTCCCATTTTCCCCCACATACCATACACTTTTAAGCTATTCTCTTTTATTTCTGTGCAAGAAATTGGGGTCCAGGATATAATTTTATTGACTCATGAAGAGAGTTTAATAAAATTACTTGGGAATCAGATAGATTAGAATGAGAGTAACTGCCACGAAGTTGATTCCGACCCACAGTGACTGTAGGTAGGGTAGGCCAGTACGAATAGGTTTCCAAGGTGGGAGCTTTTTAAAAAAATAATTTTATTGGGGGATCATACAACTCTTATCACAATCCATACATCCATCCGTTCAGTTAAGCACATTTGTACATTTGTTGCTATCATCATTCTCAAAACATTTGTTTTCTACTTGAGCCCTTGGTATCAGCTCCTCATTTTTCCCCTCGTTCCCTCCCTCACGAACCCTTGATAATTTATAAATTATGATTATTTTTCCATGTCTTACACTGTCCGACGTCTCCCTTCACCCACTTTTCTGTTGTCCGTCCTCCAGGGAGATGGTTATATGTATCAGTTTCCCTTTTCTCTCCCACGTTCCCCTTACCCTTCTGGTACCAATACTCTCCTTATTGGTCCTGAGGGGTTTTTCTGCCCTGGGTTCCCTGTGTTTCCAGCTCTTGTCTGTACCAGTGCACATGCTCTGGTCTAGCCGGATTTGTAAGGTAGAATTGGGATCATAATAGTGGCGGGGAGAAAGCATTAAAGAACTAGAGGAAAGTTGTGTGTTTCATCGTTGCTACACTGCACCCTGACTGGCTCGTCTTCTCCCTGCGACCCTTCTGTAAGGGGATGTCCAGTTGCCTACAGATGGGCTTTGAGTCCTTACTGTGCATTCCCCCTCATTCACAATGATAGGATTTTTTGTTCTTTGATGCCTGATACCTGATCACATCTACGAGGCTGTAGCTTGTTATGTAGTAGAAAGCCCCCATTTCCTCCCACTTAGAGAGAGTGGGTAGTCCGATTTACTGGCCTGCTTTCCTTCATATTGCAGTGTCCGTGAACGTTAACTTTGCGCTTTATTAGCCCTACTTTTGTTCTTCTTCTTTAGCTGTTTATCAAACATGCATTAAATGTCAGTCCTGGGATATGCGAGTGGTTGGGGAAAAGGATTGGGATACTTGTTCCTTTAGAAAAGTATGAATTACAAATTAAGAAGTAGTTAATAATAGTTTATAGGATGTTTAAATATAATTCTTGGTGTTGAGAGACTTAATTGAATTCTGACGGATCTTATTATATTCATTTTAGAGGAATAGTATATTGCTTATTGAAATTTACTTATATTTAAACTCATACCACTGGTAAATAGCTGAACTACAAATGTTTGAGACCAAATTTATTTTATATTGAATTACATTTTTCCATTGACTTTTCATATTTTAAAATAGTTCTGTAAATTTTTCCTGAAGGAACTCAAAGCTAGTTGACAGAAAAACTAGACAGTTTCATAATTAAATAAGAATGAAGCTGAAACAATGTTTATTAGAGAATTTATTACTGTTCTACAATTTTGTTATTGTTCACTTTCTCCTAATTTCATTTGAAACCTCCTTTATCCTGCTATCTGTTTCACCCTGCCAACAAATAGTTACAGCATTCTAGGCATTGCATTGGACACTGGGACCAGAGAAAGTCACGCTTAACCCTTCCTTCTATGAGTATGTAGTCTACTTGAGAATGCTATGGAATAGAGTATTGTTTATTAAATGTGTCTAGGATTATGAGCAAGCAAAAAAATGAAGTAATTCTCACATACAGGAGAGAGTGTGAGAAGAAAGGACTGACATTGAGCTGAGCATCCTAATGGCAAGCCACGTAGGGAAGATTGCTCTAAACTGAATGTGTAAACAAGAGCAAAGGAGATTTGGTAAGAAAGGGATCATCAATGCTTCCAAGATTGGAGTCATTGTTTTTAAAGAGACTGATAGTCTATCCTTGAAATATGTCCAAGACATCCTGAGTTTGAGACTTTATCTTGAAAGGTTAAGAGGAATTATATAAAACTGATATAAAGATATCTGGATTTTTAGAAAGTTTACTCTAAGAAAATATGTTAGAGAGGATGAATGACAGAGGAACTAAGCACAGTGACCATTTGAGGAAAAATCTAGTTCTAATTGTTGCTTAGCAATTTTATAGGCTATGTACTACAGATCTTCCTGAAGACCAAATAGAATTTTCATCCAGCTTACCAAAATAAGTGTATAATAATTGTGTATAGCAGGAATTTGATTTTTTAAAATTGTGGCAAGAAACATATGTAGTGAAAAATTTGCCATCCTAACACTTTTACATTTATTATCAATGATACTTCATCATGCTATATAACTGTCACTACTATCCTTTTCCAAATTATTTCATCACCAGTAATAGAAACTTTGAATACTGAGCAGTGACTGCCTGTCCCCTTCCCTGCTACTAATACAACGACCTGCGATCCTAACTTTTCAGAGTTATAGTTTTGGAGTAAATATATTCGTCAGTATTTTTTGTGTCCTTCAAGTATTTTCTAAGACTATATTTTTAGAAGTGTAATAACATTTTAAGCCCTTTGTCATGTTGAAAATTTAGTTCCAGAATTGGTGTACAATGTAAGTTTTCATTAACAATTTATAACATGATTTTTATTATCTATAGAAACAGTAGAAAATATACTTAAAAATGTCTGTAGTACGCAATTTTAGTTTTAAAGAATGCTACTGTGTAGTATCGAACGAATAGTATAGTTGAATCCTGATGTCATCATCACTCAGCTTTCAAAGATATGAGCTTTCAAGTTATAAACAATCATAATTGTCACTTTGAAAATCCATTCAATGAAAAATGCTAGTATGCAACATTGATGCGAAATAGTGAATCAACTTTTATGTTATTGTAATGTGTCAAAATTGCTAAAGCTGAAAATTATTAAGTTTGATATTGAGCATACTCTCAAACCTAAAATCCAAATTCACTGCCATCGAGTTTGTGCCACACTGTAGGGACCCCACATGACAGGACAGATCGGCCCCTGTGAGTTTCTGTGACTGCAACTCTTTACAGGAGTGGAAAGCCCAGTTATTTTTCCATGAAGGGGCTGGTGGTTTTGAAATGCTGACCTTACAGTTAGCAGCCCAATACATAACAACCAGGGCTTCTGTTAAAAATCATTAGGTGGGGCCTGTAAGTAGGTAGGAGCAATGGGTTGGTGGTAGAGGATTTCAGCATCGGCTATAATATTTAATTTCTCCCCTTTAATAAAGAGAAGTAAATACAATTAAAACATTAACAGCTGTTAGTTATTTGTTATAGTCACATTATAGGTGTTGTTTTATTCTTTGTCATTCACTGTAATTTTATGGAATGAAGAGCTTAAGTTTATTTATATTGTTACCAAGGGCATTGATGGGCAAGGATAGGATAGATCTGGGGTTTGGAGTATAACTGGAAAGAATGAAAACAGCAGTATGAGGTTGACAAAAAGAAGTCCTGTTACTATTGAATCTTTTACTAGGTTGACCATATTTTCAGAAAAGAGGATAGAATCACTTATCCAGTATCACTGCCTAAGTACATAGTATCACTTACTCCTTTTTTTAAATTGTTTTATTAGGGGCTCATATAACTATTATCACAATCCATACATACATCAGTTGTGTAAAGCACATTTGTACCTTCATTGCCCTCATCATTCTCAAAACATTCGCTCTCCACTTAAGCCCCTGGCATCAGGTCCTCTTTTTATCCCCTCCCTCCCCGCAGCCCCCTCCCTCATGAGCCCTTGATAATTTATTATTTTGTCATATCTTGTCCTGTCTGACGTCTCCCTTCACCCACTTTTCTGTTGTCCGTCCCCCAGGGAGGAGGTCACATGTAGATCCTTGTAATCGGTTCCCTC